TATGTTGCTACACATGTCAGATAGGCTGGTCTGAGTGATACTATGTCATTCATAATATGGTTACATGATATTGTAATACCAGCTTCTTCAGAGAATCTGGCGTTTCCACCACATGTGGAACACTTGAAAGTGGAACTGGAATGCCAAACAATCACTACCTTCATCTTTGTCTACAATGTTTCAGTAATGAAACATTGTTGTATGCAACACTACACTACAACAACAACAAGATTCCATTTATAGAGCGCCTTTCACGTCGGGAGGACGTCCCAAGGCACTGGACAGTTGGGCAAGGATCCGAGCAGGGGGGAAATGGTCAGGGTGAGGGGAGGGAAGGGAGGGAGCGAGGAGGGGGTAGAGAGTCGAGAGGGGAGCTGAAGGCACGGTCAAAGAGAAAGGTCTTGAGACCGGCCTTGAAGGAGGAAAGGGAGGAGGCAAGGCGAAGGCACTGGGGGATGGAGTACCAGAGCCTAGGGGCTGAGAGGCTGAAGGCCCGGCCACCGATGGTAGGGCGGTTGGGGCGGGGGATGTGGAGCAGACCGGAGCCAGAAAAACGGAGGGTACAGGCAGGTAAGTAGGAGGATAGTAGGTCGGAGAGGTAGGAGGGAGCAAGGCCGTGAATGGCCTTGTAGGTGAGGATGAGGATCTTGAATTCGATCCTCTGGGGGATGGGAAGCCAGTGGAGGCGAGCGAGGGTGGGAGTGATGTGGTCGCGAAGCCTGGTGCGGGACAGTACACAAGCTGCAGAGTTCTGAATGACCTGCAGCTTGTGGAGGGAGGGGTCGGGAAGGCCGATGAGGAGAGAGTTCCCATAGTTCAGCCTTGAGATGATAAAGGCGTGGACCAGAGTTTCAGCAGAGTGAGGGGTGAGGTAGTGCCATAGTCTGGCGATGTTTCGGAGGTGATGGAAGGTGGAGCCAGTTGTGGAGCGGATATGAGGAAGAAAGGACAGCTCAGGGTTGAACAAAACGTTCCTGCCTGGCTTTGAGAGGTGGAGAGTGCAGCCTTGGATGCTGATGCTGTCAGTGCCTGAGGTGCGGAGGCGCTGACGCGAGCCAATCAGGAGGGCCTCAGTTTTGCACACGTTGAGCTGAAGAAAGTTGTCTTTTGTCCCAGACTCGATGTCGGACAGGCAGGCTGTCAGGATATCGGTGGTCGTGGAGTTGAGGGTAGAGGAGGAAAGGTAGAGTTGGGTGTCATCCGCATACATGCGGAAGTTAACCCCATGTCTGCGGATGATGTCACCAAAGGGGGAGCATATAGAGGGTGAAGAGGAGGGACCGAGGACAGAGCCATGAGGGACACCACACGAGACAGTGCGGGGCTGGAGGAAAAGCCGTTTGTGGAAACAAAATGAGGACGGTGGGAGAGGTACGACCTAAACCACTCAAGGACAGGGCCTTGAAGGTTGAGGTGGGAGGACAAGTGGGAGGATTGCGTGGTCGACCGTATTGAATGCTGCCAATAGGTCGAGGAGGATGAGGAGGCAGAGGGAGCCCTGGTCGCAGATTGTCAAGATGTCATTGGTGACCTTGACCAGGGCGGTTTCTGTGCACGGAAACCCGACTGAAGGGGTTCGAATAATGAATGGGTGGAGAGGAAAGAGCGCAGCTGGGAGGCGACAACTCTTTCAAGGACCTCGGACATCAGGGGAGGTTGCAGATGGGCCGGTAGCTTGATAGCTGCGACACATCAAGGGAGGGTTTTTTCAAAGTGGGAGTGTTGGTGGCAGTTTTTAGGGGAATGGGAACAGAGCCAGAGGAGAGGGACAGGTTGATAATGTTTGTGATAAGTGGGCAAGGAGGTGGAGCTGAGAGATAAAGAGTGGTGTGGGGATGGGGTCAAGGGAGCAGGTGGTAGGTTTCAGGGACAGGATGAGTTTGGTGACAGAGGGTGGGGAAACGGGTACAAAGGTGTGTAGCGGAGGATGGGTAGGAAGGCGGTGCCACTACTAAATAATAATCCTTGCATTTGATGTAACATCAATATGTCTCAAAGCGCTTCACGTGATAAACTGTAAAGTTGATTGACTTGTATTTTGTGGGTGAAACTAAAGCATAGATGTTGCACATAAATGAAGAAATACACTTTGCATGCCCCAAATTTTCTCTTCCGGCTCCTTTTTCCATCCACTTGGTATGATTCCCTGGGTCCTAGTGACACTTTGGCATTTCTCCCAAATGACCTCATTCACCCCCAGAATACAGCCCCAACTCTTTAGAATACATTCTATGAAGTCATTTGGGCTGGTTGCTGGAGGGCAACCAATGTCTGTGAAACTACATTCCAAGAAGAGAAGGTCAGACCAGGGGCAGTGTAGAGATGATTAGAAAATAATTTGAACATGTTAAATTTAAAATATAATAGCACAAATTGAAATGATTACAGTGGGCATTGTCATGAAACACTGTAGAAAATAATGTGTTTTGGTTCAGCTAGGTGCCTGACAGAAATAGAAACCCATCACCATGCTTAAGAGTTTCCAAACCAAATTAAAAGTTCCATGCATCCCACTAATACATGGAAATTCCATGTGGAGTCCTGTAGCTCAGTGGTTAGAACACTCGCTTTGCAAGTGAGAGACCTGAGTTCAATTCCAGGCAGAGGGCGAAACCTTGGGCAAGTTTCCTTACTCCACACAGAGCCTAATAATAATCCCTCCAAAAAACCCAAAACAATAATAAATTGGTCATTTTCAATCTACGATTGTTTGTGGGACATTGCTGTGCGCAATTCGCTGCCGCGTTCGCCCACAAATATACAGTCAATTCACTTTACAGTGTGTTCTGTGAAGCGCTTTGGGACGTCCTCCTGACGTGAAAAGCGCTATATCAAATGCAAGGATTATTATTATTATTATTATTCCCATGTATTGAAACAGAATGTGTATTCTCTCCCTGGAGGCACACCTCCTGCTTACTTAAGCGCTCTGAGACACTACACTGCATGAAGGGCGCTATATAAGTGCATGTTGTTGTTGCTGTTGTGTTAATTCCAGAGAATAGTAAGTGAAGACTGGTAATGGTCAAGGCTAGGGGAGTCCAGAGTGAGTTTTGGGGTAATACAGTTGTTTAACCAACTAAAATTGCATAGTTTACCATTTAAAGCACTATCTGGAAAGCTTCCTGCTGCTTGTCCAGCTAGGACCACCCTAGTCTTTGGGCTCTGGCTTGCAGAATTAACAGGAGCTGAGCGACAAGAGCCTCTGCCCCCAGTGATTGGTATACCCTTTTAAGTCCTCCCAATGATCCAGGCTGGCTGGGCTGTCACCCTGGAGTGCTGTGGACCAGCTTGGCTCAGGAACTGGACTACTGAGACCACCAGATTAAGTTGACTCAATTCTGACATTCTGTTAATAATAATAATAATAATAATAATAATAATCCTTGCATTTGATATAGCGCTTTTCACGTCTGGAGGACGTCCCAAAGCGCTTCACAGAACACACTGTAAAGTGAATTGACTGTATATTTGTGGGCGAACGCGGCAGCCAATTGCGCACAGCAATGTCCCACAAACAGTCGTAGATTGAAAATGACCAATTTATTATTGTTTTTGGTTTTGGAGGGATTATTATTAGGCTCTGTGTGGAGTAAGGAAACTTGCCCAAGGTTTCGCCCTCTGCCTGGAATTGAACTCAGGTCTCTCGCTTGCAACTGAGCTACAGGACTCCAAATATTTAAGTGTACCTGAAATAGCAGCATATACTTATGCCAGTTTGCAGCAATCGGGAATATGTTCTTAGCTGAAACATTAGTGGTGACAGATTTAAATGTAGGTTTCAGAGGTTCTATGTTGAAAGATATAAATTGGTGAATAGAATTAAGAAAAAATGGAGGAAGTAAAAGAGTGCCATAAAATTTCCCTACTAAATTGGGAGAATGTGGATTAATTTTAGTTTCTTAGGGTACAGTATAGTGTGTCTTTCAGACAATGATGTAATTTAGAGCATCAGCCATTTGAGTTGCCTGATTAATACTGAATTCAGCCAACCCCTAAGACATGCTCCCACTTTGCTAAAATTGGATTCAACTCCAGGCATGAACAGTCAAATGATCATTTTCTAAACTAAAATGATAGGTATGTCATCTTGGAGCCAGTTCATCTCCAAAGAGACCCTGCATAGTTCCCACCCCAAAGAGTATAGTGCCTAGTTTGTCCACTAGTCACTAGTGGGACACAAGCATAACCTTTGATGGTAATCATTCCTGAGAATCAAATGTTTTCTTTTGTTTTTTTCCAAAATGTACATTGTGCAATGTTATGCAATGCGGTGTAACCGCAACAATTTTAATAACCAAGTTTGAAATCCTTCAAATAAACAGAACAATTCTTGCATTTGATTTAACACCAAAAGGATTTACAGTAATTACTGTTAAGTGCAATGAATTTTTAAATGACTGCATAGTCAATTTGCACACAGCATCATTCCACAAGTAGCCAGTATGTGAATAACTAATTTATATTAGGCCAAGACAATGAGAGAAACCTTCTTCCCTCTCAAATAGTGTCACAGGATTTTTAGTAAGTATCTCGGTTTAATCTATCTGAAAAACAGCATTTCTAACAACTCCGTGCTTCCTCAACACTACACTGGAACTTAGATTGTGCAAATAGGTCTCCAATGTGTTGCTCGAACTTACAAATTTCTAACACAGTGGCGAAAGTGCTATTGAATGAGCCAGGCTGACATGCAAGTGTACCACACATTTCATACCGAACCACAGAATATCTGCTCTGAAAGTAGATTATGTTAGAATAGATTTTCCATGAGTAGATGTAACATATTTCTTATTAAGGAACTTCATTAGAAATCATTGCATATTAGACACTGATGTTTTCCTTTAACATTTTTTTATGGCTGAGTCATTATGGTTGAATTTGGGAACAAGTATATTTTTAGTAATTGTTTCGTAAACATCTTAACGGTGAGCAGAATCAGATGATTTTGTTGACACAGAAGCACGAAGCAGGGCACATGTAATTGAGAAATGGTCCACAGTCATTCATCTGCTTCAATTTGTCACAATTGCTGAACCTGTCCATGTACGAGCAGGTGTTAGCTGGAAAGAAAGAACAGTTTGTTAATAAAGTCATTTTATTTTCTGAAGATTGTGTTTATTTTATTATTGAGCAAAACTGTGCAGTACGCTACAGGGTGCCATCTACTGACTATAACAATGTAGAACAATTTGTCCATTTTCTCAAACAAATGCCCAGTAAAAAGCACAGGAAGCATTAGCGATGCCCTATAGGAGTGAATAAATGTTCTACAAGGGAGAGAAAGAAAAAAAAGAAAATACCAGTAAAGAATATTAAGGAGAAATCAGTTCTCCTGGGGCAGGATTAAAACTCTTGCGATCCTGGTTCAGGATCACAAAGAGGTATAATTCTGCCCATTGCAATGGCGATTTCAAGCTTCTTTTCTAGGTAGTGGCTTAAACATAACTTCAAAAAGCAAAATGAACTGCTTTGGCTGCTGCAGCTACCAAGAAAGAATTTCTTGATAAGTAAAGAAAAAGTCTGCCATTTGAATTGTGAAAGCCTGAGGGAGAAACCATTTATCTGAAGTTGGGAGTTTAATCCTGACTCTCATTTTTGTAGCTTTGTGCACCCAACCTCCGCCAGATGCCTGCGCCAGTCACAGCACCCCATTGTGGCCCAGGAGGACCTATGCCTAACTCTGGATAACGTGTCACTGAGCACAGGAATTTACATGTGCATCATTACAGAAGTAAATTCACAAATTCATCAGTTCACTTATGAGCAAAAGGACGTATGTGTCTTACTGCAAAGCTTGTTTTCACATGCATTGGGACAGTCACTACAAGATGGTCCAGCTTTATATGGAGTATTTATTAAATGCATGATATTTCCTCTGTAAGAGAATAATAAGCAAATTCGGTCAGAAGTATTTTGTTTAGCAAGCATTTCAAACCATATATTTATATCAGTAGCAATATAGAATTACTTACGCAGGACAGTACTGACAAACATAAAAATAGTGGAGCTCTTTGTTAGGACAGTGTGCAATAGCACATCCAATCTGATAGGAATTGTACCATGCAACCTGCAATGACATAAAGTGTGGTTGCTATTAAAAAGTTTTATTGATTTATTTATTTCAAGCAGTGGTTCTTAACTTCAATGCCCAAACCTATGCAAAGCAAATTTTGGATGTATTCAAGGCTAGTCTATCTCAAGAGTATTCATAGAGACCCTTACCTATGATCTTAGGTATAACTTACTGAAGACTCTTGCTTGGAAAATTCATCTTCCTGTCTTATTGCACATTATTCTTCCATACTCAACTGAAATCCTTTACTGGATCGATCTCTGATTGCTAAAACAAGTAACTTGTTCTCAACATTCTTAACAATGGGATATGTTAGAATATGCTTGGTTAAAGGAACTAAGGTTGCGCGCAAAGTAAAAGACAACTGCTTGCATAGCTGAAAATGTAGTCGTAATCTAGGGGTTATTAGAGGGCAGTAGGACTAGCTTAAACCGGCTGGAAGTGGCTAGTACAGGATAAACGAGGGCCTGTGGAGTGGGAAGACAGGAGATAAATCAGGATTGGGGTGAAAAAGTCAATAATCAGACTAGAAGGGCTGTGATCTGTTACAGCATTGAATCCATATGCTTCACATATACATAACACACTGAGATCAGTTTAGGTATAAGATAGAGGTTTTCTAGTATTCTGGGCAGTTGCCAAAGAAGTCATAGAGAGATGGGAAATTAAGTTGCTGCAAGTGTTACAGGATAATCTGAATTAGTAGTATGCCTTTAATTCTGTAATTGATTGTGTTTTAACTATTGTTTAATAATAAATTCCGTTACACCAATTTGGATTGTTGGGTCATATTTCGAATTCAGGGATCGGAAATCCCGACAGATATCCCACTGTAAAAACACAAGGGAAATCAACATTGATAATTATCACATCAGGTCACATTTTTCTCTGCTCAATACAATAAGGGAATGGGGAAAGAACGGGGAATTTGAATTTGAGCATATAGCTCCAGTGGTAGAGCTAGCACAAACATAGGTTTGATGGCTTATGTTCATACAGCTAAAGAGTTAAAAGTGTCATATTTCTAAACCCATTTTGTTCCTTAATTATCCCTGAGAATACTTATGCATCATTGACTGGAAATTGTTCCTAACCACATCTTTGGACTGAACACCCTCCTGATTTGAGAAGAATACTTTCTCCCTCCAGATCCTCCCAGTTGAATTACACCATCTGTTAATACAATAAGTGAATCACCACCGTCCAATTAAAGACTTCATCGGTCATTGTGTAATAATGTCAGTACACAATAGGACAATGCTTTTAAGGATTATTATTATGATGCATAAGCTGAATATTTAAAGCAGGTCAGCCCATGTTTCTCACATTGTTGATGGCTTAAAGGTTAATCACTTACTTACTTGAGTATAATGGGTTATTATTCTGTCTGATAGTTTCCCAACTCCATACTTAAAATCTTTGACTTCATTGTACCAGGCTTGTACCACACGGGGCCATGGAGTTGGACAGCTTGACATATATAGATTCTCTCCACATAAGAATCCTTAATAAAAACACACAGGATTTGATTACTAGTCTACTCACAATAAATTGTAGAGGTCATTTTTAAGTTAAATAATAATCCTTGCATGTTTGTGTTTGATCCATGCAAAAGTTTATGGCCCATCAAATTATTAAAATAAAATCTTTTCACTTCTGCTTTATTGTATTGTGCATTGCGTTCTATTGTCTTGACTGGGTAGAATTGGTAAATTGCAGTCAAGCTTTAGAATGCACAAATCTTTGCTTTTCTTACATAATCCGACAAATCTGGCTGGACCTCCTCAAAATTTACCGCTCCACTCTAGCCTCGGCCAAGTCGTCCTTCTACTCCAGGATAATCCTGGAGGCGAAGAACAACCCCAGGCTACTGTTTTCCACCACAACCCGACTCCTCCGTCCCCCCCGCCACCCCCCGCCACCCCGCGCAGGTCATCTCCTCCAACCTTCACTGCGAGGAGATGCTGGATTTCCTTGAATCCAAGATCAAGGGAATCCGCTCCGCGGTCACTTCCCCTCCAACTTCCACCCACCACCCACCCCTTCCCTCCCACACTCCGACTCCTACCCATCCTCCCCTACACACCTTCGTACCCGTTTCCCCACCCTCTGTCACTGAACTCATCCTATCCCTAAAACCAACCACCTGCTCCCTTGACCCCATCCCCACTCCACTCCTTATCTCCCAGCTCCACTTTCTTGCCCCACACATCACTGACATCATCAACCTGTCCCTCTCCTCTGGCTCTGTCCCCATTCCATTAAAAACTGCCATCATCACGCCCACCCTGAAAAAACCCTCCCTTGATGCGTCGCAGCTATCAAGCTACCGGCCCATCTCCAACCTCCCCTTTCTCTCCAAGGTCTTGGAAAGAGTTGTCGCCTCCCAACTGCGCTCTTTCCTTTCCACCCATTCTCTTTTTGAACCCCTTCAGTCAGGTTTCCGTGCTGCCCATAGCACAGAAACTGCCCTGGTCAAGGTCACCAATGATATCCTGACCATCTGTGACCAGGGCTCCCCCTGTCTCCTCGTCCTCCTCGACCTATCGGCAGCATTCGATACGGTCGACCACGCTATCCTACTCCACCGCTTGTCCTCCCACCTCAACCTTCAAGGCACTGTCCTTGAATGGTTTAGGTCGTACCTTTCTCACCGTCTTCACTTTGTCTCAACGAATGGCTTCACCTCCACCCCCCGTACTGTCTCATGTGGTGTCCCTCAGGGCTCTGTCCTCGGTCCCCTCCTCTTCACCCTCTATATGCTCCCCCTCGGTGACATCATCCGCAGACATGGAGTTAACTTCCACATGTATGCGGATGACACCCAACTCTACCTTTCCTCCTCTACTCTCAACTCCACGACCACCGATGTCCTGACAGCTGCCTGTCCGACATCGAGTCCTGGACGAGAGACAACTTTCTTCAGCTCAACGTGCGAAAAACCGAGGCCCTCCTGATTGGCTCACGTCAGCGCCTCCGCACCTCAGGCGCTGACACCATCAGCATCCAAGGCTGCACTCTCCACCTCTCAAAGCCAGTCAGGAACCTTGGCGTTTTGTTCGACCCTGAGCTGTCCTTTCTCCCTCACATCCGCACTACAACTGGCACCGCCTTCCATCACCTTCGGAACATCGCCAGACTACGGCACTACCTCACCCCTCACGCTGCTGAAACCCTGGTCCACGCCTTTGTCACCTCAAGGCTGGACTATGGGAACTCTCTCCTCGCCGGCCTTCCCGACACCTCCCTCCACAAGCTGCAGGTCATTCAGAACTCTGCAGCTCGTGTACTGTCCCGCACCAGGCTTCGGGACCACATCACTCCCACCCTCGCTCGCCTCCACTGGCTCCCCATCCCCCAGAGGATCGAATTCAAGATCCTCATCCTCACCTACAAGGCCATTCACGGCCTTGCTCCCTCCTACCTCTCCAACCTACTATCCCCCTATCTACCTGCCCGTACCCTCCGTTCCTCTGGCTCTGGTCTGCTCCACGTCCCCCGCCCCAACCGCCCTACCATCGGTGGTCGGGCCTTCAGCCTCTCAGCCCCCAGGCTCTGGAACTCCATCCCCCAGTGCCTTCGCCTTGCTTCCTCCCTTTCCTCCTTCAAGGCCGGTCTCAAAACCTTTCTCTTTGACCGTGCCTTCAGCTCCCCTCTCGACTCTCTTCCCCCTCCTCGCTCCCTCCCTTCCCTCCCCTCACCCTGACTATTTCCCCCCTCCTCGCTCCCTCCCTTCCCTCACCCTGACCATTTCCCCCCTGCTCGGGTCATGACCCAACTGTGCAGCGCCTTGGGACGTCCTCCTGACGTGAAAGGCGCTTTATAAATGGAATCTTGTTGTTGTTGTTGTAATACAATGCACCCCTCTTACAAACTTCACAAAGTCAGACATTAACTCTTTTGAAAGTTAATCTTAACACTGTCGTAGAAATGTAGAATTTTTATGAGCAGTTGTTTCCCTCTCCCCTGAAGGTGCTAACTTAAGGTTGTTCTGCTGATGTGAAAGGTGCTATATAAATGTAAACTGTATTGTATTTCCACAAGTGCCAGCAGCTCTCTCATGTATTTCCACAAGTGCCAGCAGCTCTCTCAAGTCTTCACTTATGAGTTTTGATACTATCAATTCATGGAAAGCAATCACAACTCCTCTCCCCACTTCAGTTCCACTTTGCATTTCTAGCAAAAATCACTACATTAGAATCTGACTGATTTCTCTCCTTTGTCCAGGTTACTGAGGCCAAATGTATCCAGGATGCACTCTAATCATCTAAATTTGGAGATTATTAGGTGGGGGTCGGCAAGATCCAAGCTCTGGGAACCCCAGAGAATGTGTTGGGTTACTGCTGGAGTTCAACCAGCTAAAACCACATAGCTTAACATTGAGAAGACTGGTATTTCCCGCTGTCTGACAAGCTATGACCACCCTACCCATTAGGGCTTTGATTTACAGGCTTAACAGTAACCGAGTGGGAAGAATCCCTGCATTCAATAAATGGTCTACCCCTCCATGTTTTGCTAATAATCCAGGCTGGTTAGTCTGTTAGCAGCAGTGCCCTGGAGTACTATGGAGCCACCCTGGCTTAGGAACTGGACAGCTGAGACCATCAGGGCCAGTTGACTTGATTCCAATATTCTGTTACCTTGGAGCCTGCTTTGCCTAAGGAAACTCCACTTACATCCCCTCTGAGGAGTATAGTCAGTATGCACAGTGTTTGTCCCACTCCCTTGCCTATCCCTAGTGTTGTGACACAACAAAAATCTGCTGGCAATAATGGGGGATAAAAATGAGGGCAGATTTTTACGTTCTAAAAAAATCTGATTGTTCATCAAATTTCTTCATAAACAAATACCACATAAGACATAGAAATTCCATTTAAAGTTAAAAGTCAGTTTCTTAACATATTCAGGGTTGAATAAAAAAAAACTCTGAACCAACCCGTATTCTGAGAAACATAATATTAAAATCGTAATACTTTATCATGAAATAGAGCGCAGTAGGAATAATTTACATGCATACAAAGTTAAGTCAGAATAAGCAACATTCATAGTTAATTTATTTTATACATGTTAGATAACTGCTTTGGTGTACTTAGAAACATTTCTGTTTTCTGTAGGAGATATTTTGCAGTTCGATATCAAAGCTGCAAACAATGCAAGTTACTTACGGGGGATTGTTGAGTTTTGGTCAGTGCTGTGTTCCATTGAACAGGTTTCTGCCCACTTTTGAGCATTCTTTGCAGCATTCTTATTCCAGACCTAAAATAAATTAGATTGACAAACATACTTTCACTGTTATTCAAGGACAACAATTTGCATTTATATAATGGCCAAAAGCCGCTGAAACTCTGGTCCATGCCTTTGTCACCTCTCGGCTGGACTATTCAAATGCCCTCCTCCCTGATCTCCCCTTCACTACCATCCATAAAATCCAGGTCATACAAAACTCTGGCGCCCGCATTCTTACCCACACCAAACTCCGCTACCCGATTACCCCAGTCCTTGCCAGACTGCACTGACTGCCTGTCCCAGAGAGGATCGACTTCAAGATCCTCACCTTTGTATTCAAATCCCTCCACTCCTCTGCACCCCCCTACCTCTTGACCTCCTCACAACAGTACCTGTTGCCTTTGTTCCACCGGGTCTGGCCTTCTCCTTGTCCTCCGCTCCACCCTCGGCAGCCGTGCCTTCAGCCACTACGCCCCGAGGCTCTGGAACACCCTTCCTCACTCCCTTCGTCTCAGCCCCTCTCTTCCTATTTTCAGGTCTCAGCTGAAGACTTTTCTTTTCGACTGTACCTTTGGTCACCTTCCTCCCCTCCCCCTGGCTCGGCCCTGGGAAGCGCTCTGAGACGCCGTCCGGCATGGAGGGCGCTATATAAATCTAAGTTATTGTTGTTATTATTGTTGGCCTTCATGCAGGTCGTGTCTTGGAGCGCTTAAGAGATATATGGTTTGACCCTGAGCTGGAAAAGGAGTGGAGGTGACCAAAGGCCCAGTTGAAGTAAAAAGTTTTCAGGTGTGATTTGAAGACAAGCACAAGGACAAAATGGAGGGACTGAGGCGAGGAGTTCAGAGATTTGGGATATGGTGGCTGAAAGCACGACCACCAATTATGGAATGGAGATCACGAGGGATGAGTGGAAGACCTGAGTGAATGCGGCAAGAAGTGGAATGGAGTTGTAGTTGAGGGATGCAGTTTTATGACAAATAAAATATTAAGAAAAAGTATCCTGGCTACTGAAGTGACAGATTCCAAATAATTCGACAGGGTAAGAGTGACAGTGAGACTTGCATGTTGTTTTATGAAACTAGTTTCTTAACAGAAACAATAATAATAATCCTTAATATAGCATCTGAGCACCTCAAAATGTCTCCAAGTCCTTCACAGAGTTTTCTGTTAAGTGTAGTGATTGTGTAATTGTCGGTACACATGGCAGCCAATTTGCACACAGTAATATATCACAAGGACCCATGAAGTGCACAACCATTTTTATTTCTCTGGAGGATACCAGGATACTCCTTTCACCTTTTGAATAGTGCCATGGGATCTTTAAACATCCACCTGAACAGGCAGATGGGACCTCGGTTTAAATGGCTCAAACAAAGGACAGCACCTTTGACAATAAAAAAAACACTCCCACTGCAGTTGAAGTTTTGATCATGAAATTAAAGTCCTGACATTGGGCTTGAACTCACAACCTAGTGACTCAACAACTGGAACAGGGCTGCTAAGAAAGGTGGTAGAGGCCAGAAAACTGGACTCATTTAAAAAAAGCAACTTGATGCCGTGACGAGCGGACAATAAGGTGGGTGTCCTGGAAGAATGATTTGGGATGGATTGAAGGGCTTTCTTCATCCAAACCAATCTTGTAATCTTGTGGGGTTATGCTTCATCTAATTGCTCCTGTACAAATATTGTTGACCACATAGAGGTTAAAACAGTTTATGAATAGTAATTCTACAGAGTGTTGAGAACAGTCCAGCTGCTTTGTTTATTTAGAGGTTGTGGTTCCAATCTTCATGTTTAAACATACTGAGAACCATGCGTAAAACTGTAGGCTTTTTAGCTAATTATAATCCTTACTCACCATCTTCAGCATGTTACTGGCAGATGGTTCCACCTGTCTCCGCAGTTTGTTGTGAGTATTGACAATAATTCTCTGGATAACAGTGTCTGACGTACAGAGTGCTTTAAAAGTATTCGCTTCCCATGCCACTCCTTAGAAAATACAAAATAAGAACAAAATGTTTTAACATTTACAAAATAGGAGGATTAACAAATCTATAATCCTGCCATTTATTATATTATACCCAGATTTCTGGTAATTAAAGCATGACATGAATGTGCCACATAAGACATTAGACTAGCATAGAAAATGTTAATAACTGCATTTTGGGCATATACAGTACTGTGGAAACATGCTTGAAAAGTGAGTAGCTTTCCATTTAAAGTTATTTTGAGAGGGAGATGAAATGTGCAATTATAATGAACTGGAACTACAGAGTAGGGAGACATCAGTTCGAGGTGAGATCCTGATCTCAGTTAGGTTGTAGGAGGAAGGAGGGTTTAAATTGTACAAACCAGACACTCCTCTATTGAGAAAGGAAAATTCTGGTCATATCAGAATTTTACTCTAGGCCTCAATTAGAGTACTGTGTCCAGTTCTGTGCACCACACTTTAGGAAGGATAATAATAACAACAACAATAATAATAATAATCCTTGCATTTGATATAACGCTTTTCCCCTCTTCTAGACATCTCAAGGCGCTTCACAGAATAGACTGTAAAGTGAATTGACTGTATATTTGTGGGCGAAATGCAGCAGGCAGTTGGACACAGCTGTGTCCCACAAACAGTTGTGGTTTCAAGTGACCAATTTATTATTGTTTTATTTTCTTGAGGGATTATTATCAGGCGTGTGGAGTAAGGAAACTTGTCCAAGGTTTCACCCTGCTGGGAATCGAACCTAGGTCTCTCACTTGCAAAACAAGTACTCTAACCACTGAGCTACAGGACTCCAGGATGTCAAGGCATTGGAGAGGGTGCAAAGGAGATTTACCATGGTGGGTCCAGGAATGAGGGACTTCAGTTATCAGGAGAGGATTATTCTCCTTGGAGCAGAGAAGGTTAAGAGGAGAGTTATTTCCACTGGTGGGTGGGTTGGTAACCTGAGGGCACTGATTTAAAATAGATGTTAAAAGTAACAGAGGGAAGGTGAGGAGAATTTGTTTTACACAGCGAGTTGTTCGGATCTGGAATGCATTGCCTGAAAGGGTCTTGGAAGCCGATTCAATAACAACTTTTAAGAGAGAAATAGATAATTATTTGTGGAGGACAAGTTTGCAGGGCTATGGGGAGAGAGTGGGGGAATGGGATTGATTTGGCTAGCTCTTTTCAAAGAGCTGGCACAGACATGATGGGCCGAATGCTGTATAATTTTATGATTCTGTGATATCAACTCTATCACTTTTGGGACCAAACAGAGATTTGGGACTAAAAGATTGACTCTTCCAGAATTGGCACAGTACCATAGGCCCACTCTACCATTGCCCCTCATCAAAAAAAAACTATAAACTTAATCAAGATCTACAACTTCTGAAGCCTTGTTGGCTGTTATTTATTGAATTATTTTATACAAGGGTTCTTCCATTTCCTGCTACAGATTGATTCCATTAGTTTCCCAATTATTGAGGTCTAGCTAATGGGGTCAGTAGTTGCCAGGTATATTAAAAAGAATCCCTGCATTTGGTATAGCTCTTTTCACATCTTCTCGATGTCTCAAAGCGCTTCACAGAATATACTATAAAGTGAATTGACTGTATATTTGTGGGCGAAATGCAGCAGCCAATTGGGCACAGCAATGTCCCACAAACAGTCATGGATTGAAATGACCAATTTATTATTGTTTTTTTTTCTTGAGGGATTATTATCAGCCGTGTGGAGTAAGGAAACTTGCCCAAGGTTTTGCCCTGCCGGGAATCAAACCCAGGTCTCTTGCTTGTGAGGCGAGTGCTCTAACCACTGAGCTACAGGACTCCACAGATACGGCTTTCTTGCCTTTCATGAATATTGCAACCACATTGCAGTTCTGCCAGAACGTCCATCATACGTTTGTATTAAGCCCCAAATTGTTCATAAATGCATGAAAAGACTATTAGTGATATTTATCGGGCAGGTGTGCAGTAATTCATTCCAAAATCATTTGGATTTTATTCCAGTCTTTCATGGCTGCATGTCACAATTTATGAAGAAAGTGACAGCCCCATTGCCACTTAGCCATGACACATAGGACAATAAATTTAGTTTTGTGCAAACAATTTCTTTTTACTGGTGTTCAGCAAATAGTGAACACATTTAGTGAAACATAGAAGTACCTCAAAACTCTGTTAAAGTTTGTCTGAGAAAAACAGTTGGGTTGTAAACTGTAATGGTAAAATACTTTTTTGAACGTTTGATGATGAGGTGCTGGAGAAGGGACTTGACAAATAGATATGTTTAAAATTATAAAACGATTTGATAAGGTGGACATAAATGGCATGTTTCCACTCGTTGGTAAGTCTATAACAAGGTGGCTGAAATACAAGAAGAGCTAATAAGAGTTCAGGAAGAATTCCTCTCCACAGAAGGTGTTGAGAATGTGGAACTCACTATTACAAGTCACTACCAAAATTCACTCCAAATGAAGCATAAAACATTATTTTAAGAGGAAACTTGATGCATGAGGGAGAATGGGAGAGAGCCAATGTAGAGGAGATTAAGATGGAGGAGGGACTCGCGTGCAATATAAACACTGACATGGACTAGTTGAGCTGATTGGCCCATTTCAATAATGTAACAGTCTATGTCATTCTGCGTAGATTAGTGACCAAGATAATGCAACAGGGTATAAACACTTCATGTGAATTATATCTAAATATAAAAAATGTGCAAGACTGGGGGTTATTTTAACTCTGATTCAATCCACATTTTATGATCATGGTAATTCAATACTGTGTGAATGTTTAGATTTAAGTGATAGAATACTTGTAATAGGTGCAATCAGGAATCCTGTAGCACTCGCCTCGCAAGTAAGCGACCTGGGTGCAATTCCCAGCAGGACGAAACGTTGGGCAAGCTTCCTTACTCCACACGCCTGATAATAATCCCTCAAGAAAAAAAGCAGTAATAATTTGGTCACTCAATCCACAACTGTTTGTGGGACACTGCTGTGCACAATTGTTTGCCGCCTTTCGCCCACAAAATATACAATCAATTCACTTTACAGTATATTCTGTGAAGTGCTTTGAGATGTCTAGACGATGTGAAAAGCGCTGTATCAAATGTAAGGATTATTTATATAACTACAGATTAAAATTGTTCATAGATTAATCACCATAATCTCACACTCATACTAATCTCACATTCACCCTTTCTAATTGTTCCCTATGTGCAAGTGCAAAGAAAACCTGTAAAGGTTTCGAATGATTTTAATACTTTACAAGAGTAATTTATATGTGGAGGAAACTAACTAAACCAAATAAAAACTAAGCTATATTTTATGAAAACATTTGTGCACATACGCGATCCAAGTACTGTTCTATATTTATCTTACATGGATTGGAAACCTGTGCAAGACTTTCTGGCTGTAGCAATGTTGGCTGAGAGGAATTGCGGGTACTCCGTCTATTTACTGACTTACTTAAGATGATCTCAGTTGTAAATTCTCTTATTCATAATAAAAAATTATAAATAAAAATGCACATATGTATTCTTACCTTTCTAATTGTTGGTGTCACATAACATGATAAAAAAATAAAAACAGCATTAGGATCATTCGAAGTTCTATAAAAATCATTTATCATAATTGATTTTTATTCACATTGCCTTCATATAGAGATTTGTATTCTGTATGGCCAAGTAGATACAATATGAATCAATCCCTGAAGACAGGACTAAGAAACTCTGTTCACACACTTCCACACTATATGGCAGTGTCATATTGTTTGGAATGGTGAGTGCTTGTGTGCTGCTGCAGTTGCTGATATTTGTGGGACTGTGCTGCTGAGTGAATGAAATGTCCAGCACTGATGTTCGTCTTTGAATACTTGAAAGGCCAGACTTACTTGTAGAAATCTCTGTTATTCCTTAATAAAATAGTTACAATCAAACAGATCCAAAGGCACTTCCCTAAAGTGCATTTATAGCTCATACTTACTGAAAAAGTCTGCATGTACGAGCAATGGAGCAAAAAGAGTAGATACAGAGAATCTGTCAACAGTAACATCTTTGCTTTCAATCTGGAGAACAGAGCAATAAAAGGAATCATAATTGCCATAGTCTCAAACATATTCTATTCCATTGCTTAATTAAGAAATAATACCCTTACAATTTTTTTTCTAATTTTCCCCCAACTTTTAAATAACAGTGGTGACCAAACCTGCCTGCAAATGTTCCAAGCTTCCCAGCTTCACTCTTTCCTTTTCTGCCACTCCCTTTATGAACCCCTCCAATTGGGTTTCCATGCTGCCCACAGCACGGAAACAGCCTTGGTCAAGTGACAAGTGACATTCTGTCCATCTGTGACCTGGGCTCCCTCTGTCTCCTCATCCTCCTTGACCTCTCTGCTGCTTTTGACACTGTGTATCACTCTAGCCTCCTCCACCACCTCTCCTCTCACCTTAACCTTCAAGGTTCGGTCCTTGAATGGCTCAGACCCTATCTATCACACCGGCCCCACTTTGTCTCCACAAATGGCTTCTCCTCCAGCCGGTGCGGTGCGGTGTTGCTTACGGCTCTGTCCTCGGTGCTCTCCTCTTCAACCTGTACATGCTCCCTGTTGGTGACCACATCCGGACACATGGAGTCAACTTCCACATCGACGTGGATGACACCCAACTCTATCTCTCTGCCTCCACCCTCAATCCCACTGATGTCCTGACAGACTGACTGTCAGACATCAAGTCTGGACAAGAGATAACTTTCTACAACAACAACAAGATTACATTTGTATAGCGCCTTTTACGTCAGGAGGATGTCCCAAGGCACTGGAACGTCAGCAAAATAGAGGCTCTCCTGATTGGCTCATGCCAGCGCCTCCGCACCTCAGGCACTGGCAGCATCAGCATCCGTGGATGCACACTCCACCTCACCAAGCCAGTCAGGAACCTAGGCGTCTTGTTCGACCCTCAACTGTCCTTTCTCCCCCACATCCGTGCCACTCTGCCTTCCCCCACCTCCGCAACATTGCTCGACACCATCCTGCCTCACCCCTCAGGCTGCCGAAAGCCTCACACATGCCCTCACTACAAACAGGCTCGATTATACCAACACCATGTTTGTTGGCTTTCCCAACTCTTCCCTCCATAAGCTGTAGATCATCCAGAACTCTGCAGCTCGTGTCCTCTCCCGCACCAGGCTCCGTGACTCTATCACCCCTACCCAGCTCCACTGGCTCCCCATCCTTCAGAGGATCGAGTTCTAAATTCTCATCCCCACTTTCAAGGTCCTCCATGGCCTTGCCCCCTCCGACCTCTCTAACCTGCTAACCCCTTATCAACCTGTCCGCTCCCTCTGCTTTAGCTCCTTCTGTTCTCGATGCTGCTTTACTAACTAACAACTTAACCAAATCGATATATCTTCGAAAGCAACATCTGTAACTAGCTTGCTTTGTCTCTTCTTCCCTTCGCTGTCCTCTAATCCTCTGGTAGTCCTCGATAGTGGAGTCCTGCAGCTTAGTGGTTAGAGCACTCGCCTCGCAAGCGAGAGACCTGGGTTTGATTCCTGGGCAGGGTGAAACATTGAGCAAGTTTCCTTACGTCACACACCTCTTTATACCTAGCAGTAAGTAGGAACCCGGTTGTTAGTGGATCGATTTTCCAGGGCTAACAATCCCTTCCAATAAATAAATAAATAAATAAATAAATTGCTTACTTCAATCCATGACTGTTTGTGGGTCACTGCTGTGCACAATTGGCTGCCATGTTTTGCCCACAAAATATACAGTCAATTCACTTTACAGTACATTCGGTGAAGCGCTTTGAGATGTCTCGAAGACATGATAAGGCGTCATATCAAATCCAAAGATTATTATGACAATTTCTAAACCTATTGAATTTTGAAAAATGTTACCACCTCTACCATCTCTTCCTTTGTTTCTTTTCGCGCTTTAAGGCATGGAAACAATCCGGGACATGGGTTTGACTTCAGACTCACTAATTTATCAATTTCTATGTTCATGTTTATAATTAAGCTTTTAAATATCTCCCTATCACCGTGACATAAGAGGACTGCCCAGATCCTAGAGACAATGAGAGGAGAGCAACGAGGATGATCCCCAGTGTCAGAGGATTGGGCTATGAGCTGGGCCAATAGAAAAGTGTAGTCACACCACAAACGGAGTCCATCCCTACAAATGGCCTCCTCCGCTACAAACCTGAACACACAGTGTGCTAGAGCCTTGGCCTCTGCGTGCTATTTGCTCGTCGCTGTCTCTGTGGGCGGAGTGGCTCCGGTCACTAATGCATTAGTGCGGGGAGTGTTAGTATTTTGGAAGTGGAGGAGCAGGAAATCGGCTTTGGTCGCTAGTGAGTGAACCACGATAGAAATACCAGCTGCGTGATATTACTGCCTTCTATTTGCTTGATGCCCAGCCTAAATTGAGCTCCTGCGTCAAATGCTTGTGCTGTACCATTCAAATTAACATTTTTAGTGTTTTAAACGTAACTGCATGTTCAGGAAATATATGCCTATAGTTTTAATCCTGGTTGTTTCACAAAATGCGTCTGAATAAAACAGCTTGATGCTGTGGTGGGAGGATGGATAAGATCAGATGAGTCACCACACTTTATAGTATGTCCACTGAAATGCTTTGAGACATCCTCCCAATGTTAGAGGTACAATATCAAATGTGAGGACTATTATTTACAGTATTTCAGTTGTATTGATATTCCTTTTCCAACCAAATGCAAGTTCAAATCTCTCATTATAGCCACATTTTATTCTTATAAGTTTCCTTGAATTTCTTGCCCATACAAATGCCCTCCTCCGCTGCAAATGCCCTCCTCCACTACAAACCTGTACATACACAGTGCAGCAACTTTGAGCAGTCAGACACACTTTCCATATGTATAGTCGTCTCTGGCAATTACTGAGTCCATAAGTCCCACATCATCCAAGTTCAACCATAATGGCATCAGCTCCATCATGCTAAACTGATCCTTTCTATCCCTCTAAACAAACAAACAATGTAGTATCTTATCCAAAAGCTGCCCCAAACCTTGATCAATACCAAATTCATGTTCTGACCAAATTCACTCAATAAGTTCCCTTTCATTCTTGTGACTCAAGTTCCTTTTACTTTTTACCTGAACAAGTCTCAGTTACCCTCAGAAAATCCATCATTTAACCTTTTAGATATTATTTCCCTGAACACCCCCTTTATGTGTCAGCTTAGCTCAGTGGTAGCACTCTTGCCTTTGAGTCAGAAGGTTGTGAGTTCAAGCCCCACATCGAGACTTGATGTTGTGTAGTCTAAGCTGACACTCCAATGTAACACTGTGCATTGCAAGGACGGAGGTGCCGTCCTTCAGATAAGTCATCAAACTGAGGTCCCGCCTGTCAGTTCAGGTAGACGTTAAAGATCCCATGGAACAATTTTAAAAGAGAAGGGAGTTTCTACCGGCCAACAATCCTTCAAATAAAAATTGATCACATGGCTGTTTGTGGGACATTGCTGTCCGCAAATTGGCTGCAGCTTTCACCTACAAATACAAAGTCATTCCACACACAGTAAATCCTATAAAGAGCTTTGGGATATCCTCCTGACATGAAAGGCACTATAGCAAATATAAGTATTATTTTTATTATTTATTTTAAGTACCTCATAAAACAATTGATATTTAGGGAGAAACAGGGCAAGCCCAAGAAACTATCGTTTTTTTTGGCTTGCCCTGTCTCTCCCGAAATTTACTATACTGTGTCCGAATATCCTCACAGTGCAAATCCAAATCTCATCATTCAGCTGTGGTACCACTCTACTGTTTGTTTCTTTAATTAAAACTAACTAGATTCAGATTTAATAAGTGTGATTGACACGGCATCACAGAAAGTAATGTCACATGCCACATTTACATGTATTCATTGCTGCAAACTTACATAATTATTCTCTATTAGGTATGCTCACCTGCGGCTGGCAGCAGTAGGTTTCTGGCTTAGTCTTGGTCCAGGGCTATGGAGCTGTGCCTGACTGGCATTTAAATGAGTTTCCAGCTCATTCCTCCTACAGTGATCGCTTTGTTATTCCAATTGGATACCTAGTGAGAAAGCTGATGACGTTCTTTATACTATTGTTCTTCACTACCACCTTACCCCTTATTAGAAGTGGGTTTCTCCCTGTGTCCTCGCCAACAATCTTCCAGATTAACTGGTCATTTGCCTTGTGATTGTTTGAGGGACATCGGTGTGTGTAAAATAGTTCTCAATTTTGCCTACAAGGCAGTCACCACTGCTTTATAATTGGTACTATCTTTAAGCTTTTTGAGAAGTCCAAATTGCTTCCCAGCTTCACTCCTTCTGCTCCCACCACTCCCTTCACAAACTCCTCTAATCAGGTTTCCGTGCCATCCACAGCACAGAAACTGCCCTGGTCAAAGTGACAAATGACATTCTGTCCATCTGCGATCAGGGTTCCCTCTACCTCCTCATCCTCCTTGACCTCTTTGCTGCCTTCGACACCATTGACCACACTATCCTCATCCACCACCTCTCCTCTCACCTCAACCTTCATGGCTCTGTCCTTGGATGGTTCAGATCGTACCTCTCACAATGTCTGCACTTTATCTCCACAAAAGGTTTCTCCTCTAGCCCCCGCACCATCTTGTGCGGTGTTCCTCATGGCTCTGTCCTTGGTCCCCTCCTCTTCAACATCTATATGCTCCCTCTTGGTGACATCATCCACAGACATGGGGTCAACTTCCACATGTATGCGGATGACACCCAACTGTATCTCTCTGCCTCCACGCTTGACTCCAAGACCACTGCTGTCCTGACAGAATGTCTGTCAGACATCAAGTCCTGGATGAAAGCTAACTTTCTTCAGTTGAATATCAACAAGACCGAGGCTCTCCTGATTGACTCCCATCAGCACCTCCACACCTCAGGTGACAGCATCATCATCCATGGTTGTACACTCCACCTTGCTAAGTCAGTCTGGAACCTTGGCGTCTTGTTTGACCCTCAACTGTCCTTTCTAACCCACATCCATTCCATGACCCACTCTGCCTTCCCCCACCTCCGCAACATTGCCCGTCTCTGCCACTGTCTCACAGCGCAGGCCACCGAAATCCTCATACACAAGTTCATAACGTCCAGGCTTGACTATGCAAACTCATGGGGTTTGTCGGCCTCCCTAACTCCTACCACCATATGCTGCAAATCATCCAGAACTCTGCAGCACATTTTCTCTCCCGCACCAGGCTCTATGACCCTATCACCCCCACCCTCGAACGACTCCACTGGCTTCCAATCACACAGAAGATACAGTTCAAGGTCCTGGTCCTCACCATCAAAGCCCTCCATGGTCTCATTCCCCACCCCATACCTCTGCGATCTACTAACCCCCCTAACGACCTGCCTGCTCGCACCGCGCAGTGGGCTCCGGTCTGCTTCACGTCCCCTGCCTCGCCTGCCTCACCCGCTCCACCAATGGCGGGCAGGCCTTCTGCCACTTTGCACCCACCCTCTGGAACTCCATCCTGCAGTCCCTATGCCTCGCCCCCTCCCTTACCTCCTTCAAGACCTATCTCAAGACCCTCCTCTTTGACCGTGCTTTCGATCACCCTCTTTCCCCCACTGCCCTCCAC